TTGTATTACTGGAGGAGGATTTACAAATTACCGCTATTCAATTTTTTACATAGAGAATTATATTGAAAATAAGAATGGATTCTTACATTGGTGTACATAATATTTCTTTGAGTATCATATATAAATATATATTGAATTTTAATTTAATCATGTACATATAAAAATAAATTTTATCCTGTAGTATATTAGTCTGAATAATAAATCATGTTTACATTAAATAATATGAGTATACTTGTAGTAAGTACATTAATATTAATAATATAGCATAGAAACCTTTCAATCAATTGTATTAAATCTAGTCAACCCAATATTATATATAAACAGGCTTAAGACTGGTGGCATATACTGAAAATGATATTTCTTATTTAATATATTCTAGATCTTTTTACTTAATAAATTATAAGAACATTAAAGGATAGTTTTGTAACTCCATAGTGAACCTCCTTTCTCTCTCTCCTCACACTAAGAGGACCACTATGGCTTTGCTCACCATGATAGGCTATTTTTTGGGCCTTTTGATGATCAGGTGTTGCTATTCACCTATTTTTCTTAAATAGATGGCCAATTGTAACCCTTTGTTTTTAATAGAGATATCTATACCTAGAATTGATTGAAGGCCACAGTTATATAACTCATGGAACACATCTTCCACTTGGTCCACTTGGGCTATTGTGCATAAGAGATAGTGATGAAGGTGGCTACAAGGTATCCTTGCCTTTCTATTTCCACTATAAGAATATGGTTTCTATACCTATACAATGCTTCTCACTTATGGAGGAGCATGGTGGTAGATATGTGAATCTTGTTAGATTCATAGTTGGGAGGTAGATCTCATATTTCACAACATTTACTATTCTGTTCATTTTGATAGCAATTTGATAGCCTATGCTATCCACCCTGTAGTTGTCAAGGAGATCTTTGAGTATTTGCCTCTAGATCTAGACTAAAGGTGTGTTGTCCAACTCTTAATTGTTGGAGGACATGATCCTCATATGACATGAGGCATACCATATAAGTCCCATATCACCCTAGAACCATGTTTGCTCAAGTATGATACCTTACGTACTTGCCCTTTGGCTACCAGATCTACCTTTCAGAAACCCTGAGGATTCATTCTTAAATAAACTTTTCCTAAATTTTCCTTTTCCATATGTCCCTCTTGGTTTAACTCCCTTACTAAATATGGACCCAAACCCTGTCATGTTCCCTTTTCACAGGTTATCATTAAAATGCATTTTGATCACTGCATCCAATGCTTCTTTGTATTAGTCGGGTTTTAGTGCATCACTTTGCCTTAAGCCCAAGTTTGCAAGCCTAACATGGAGGCATAGGACACATTTATATCACCCATATTTGTGATAAGGATTTACTTGGCCAAAATGCATTCACACACTCTTGAATGATTTTTGTCTATTTTAACCTACTCAATTCATCCTTTAGATGTAGAGTAACATTCCGAGGAACACATGTTGCACAAATCCTCACCTTCATCACTTTCCAAGTAGCCACCAGTCCTTTATTGGCCTTTGTTGTTCTCCACCAAAACTTAATATTATCTGCTAAGTATAGTTGTGCATATAAAACCTTTTTAGAGTTTGATAATTGTAATGCTCGAAAGTAATCCTTCATATCATAAAACTAATTTTCCACCACTTTATAGTCATTCACTCCCTTAAAGATCGGTTAGTGCTTTGGTTTATATTTGGGAACTGCTTGGGGGAATGACTCTATTTCAATTTGTTCGACCTTGTTTAGTCTTACTTTAGTCTCTACTATAGGGTCCACTCCTTCTGCGCTACTAGCATCTATAGTCTTTTGTTTTTTTTTCCACTTTTTGTTATACTTTAGCTTACATACGAAAGTCTCTAACAAAGTATTGGTCTATGCCACTTGTCCTTCTAAAGTGTTCAATCAAGCCTTGGATGACTGAACCTCGCCACTAAACTCCTATTTGGAAGTTTCCTCACTATGCAAGGATTCCTTATCCACAGCTTTTTGTTTGACCAAAAGTTCCATCTCTAGAGGAGGTTTTATCTTTGTCTTGATTCTTACATCTTGCCTTAGCCATTTCTCAACAATCCACCTTTATTTTTTTGCTAAAACTGAGAAAAAAACTCAAATACCAAATTATAAATCACAAATTTTCTTTTTTCAATTTGCTAATTTATCTCATCTATTTAACCACCTTTGTGTTGGCCTCTATTAAATTCTCTTTCCAGGGTTCACACCTATTGTACTAACTCTTACTTAAACTTACTTGGTTCAAGTACTCACTGCATGAGCAATAAAGTTTCATGAATTCCCAAATTCTCTCTCAATCCCCCTCCCCTGGTTAAATTGAATGTAAAGTTTAATTCCATTTCCCATAGGCATAAGCAACCAAGCACATTAAGCCTCCAAATTCCTAACATCTCTTAATATAACAAGATTTGATCATAGAACCCTTTAAATCCCAAATCTTGTATGCATTTCTTACTTCAAAACCCCGAGGGGAAACACCATGGTGTAACGGTATAAGGGAATAATTACCCCTATTCCCACTCTCATCCCAAAGGGAAGGCCAAAACCCTTAGGAAGGAGCAAGGACCAATAAGTTATATAATACTTAAGTAAAGCACCACTCCACATGAGTTAAAAGCACCATAATTAGTTTTCTTTCCGAGTGTAAAAATTGCTCTTAAACACTTCCTTAATAAGCCTTTCTAACACCCCCTAAATGCATGTTCATTCTCACCCAAGGTAATCCCAATCTTAACTTGGCTAGAGAGTTCCTTTAACATTGGGTTCTTATTCTTATACTTTTGAAACCCCTTACAACCCTTGGGAGAAGTACAGAAAATAAGTACTTTTTCTTACAAAAAAAACACCAAAAGAAAGAAATTGCTAGAATAATCAATATGAATTTTCATGAAAGAAAGTAATGTGAACAACTAATAATTAAAAGAAAGGAGGGAAACAAAGAAAAGAATTACATAAATTCACAAAAGAGAGGGTATGTAAATCTTGTGAATGCAATATAAATTATCAAGACATGATTGTGTGAGAAGAAATAGCTTGAGCTTTCAATGGGCATTAAAATTAAATGAAAGAATTAGAATATACCCATCCAACTTACTAAACTTAACCTATACACAAAATAAGTTTGGATGCTTTTAGATATCCAAATATAGAGAGTTAGGAATATATTTTTTAAGATGAGTAATTTTTAAATCATTCTTAAATGAAGAATACTTAATAACAACTCTTAAATGCTTTAGTTAAATGCCTTTTTAAATTAGCTAATGTTATCATTAAGATTGAGATGTGATTAATTTGATAGTACTTTACAAAAATCTAGAGAGGAAGTATTTATTAGAAATATGAGCTTTAATAATTTAAATAAATTTATATGTGCTTCAGCAAGACTCTGAGCTAAATCTTGAGCCCGGGGAGGAAATTCTAGTGTCGAACAGCCCCTGGCACTACGAGCTTGGAAAGCTTCCTTACAAGTAACTACTTCTACTCATTGATTCTTAATTGATTTTGCATACCTCACTTATAGTAACTTTATGACAAGAGAGGCAACAGCCAACCCATATTAGACAGCAAGTCAGCATAATCTGTCAAATTTGTATAAATATAGGTTCTTAATAATCCAAAATGACCTTGGGTTATTTTATGGTGAATAATATTTTGTCTCTCCATAGAAATTTTTGATTGTCTTGTGAATTGTGGTGCAATAGGTTGAAGAGGAGTAGTTAGCATGCCATGGCATACATAATTATGCATGGAGGTGCGATAATGATCATGGCTAGCATGATCATGTATAGAGGCCTGATAGTGATTATGGCAGGTGTAATAGTGCTTAGAGGTGCTGCCAATCATATTTTGATTGTTAAGATTAGTGATATAGTGTGATGAATTATGTCAATCATCATAAAAATGCCAAATAATATTTTTTTCCTCATTGGTTAAAAATACACAAGCCCTACTGCCTCAATGCACAAACCCTCATGTACTTCTGGCCATGCTATCTTTCTCTATGCATATGTTATTTTGGAAGATTGAGAGATTTATGTTTCTTTTCTCAAGATTGGTTATATCCTAGTTTTAGTGTTACAATATCCTTTAGTTATTCAATGGTGTGTTTGCTTGAGTTATACAAGATTTCATAAATGTCTTTGTGTGGTGTTTGAAGATCAAAAGTCTTTTAGATATATGGTATATGTATTGTTACAACTTAGGGAGTATAGGCACACCTTTTCATTACATATGATGCCTAACCAAGTGTGTGATATCATTTTGGGTATCAATTGGATATTTACAACTGGGGTTCATTGTGACTTCACATACCTAGGCATCCTCTTCTTTTTAGTCTAATGTGTAGTAGTAAGCCATAAGAATGCCTTTAATACTCTTGTGCATGTGCCAAAGACTTTGAAAGCTGGACATATAACATTAGTAAAATTTAATCCAAATACTCTAATTATGCTTTCCCTTCTAGATATTGTGGAGTGATTGAACCAACAATAAGAGGTAAAATAATACACACACACACACACAGAGATATATATATATATATATTCACATTTAATAAAAGTTTTTAGAAAATAAAAGTAAGTAGCATTAGATTAAGGTTTGAATATTATGTTTCTGTCAGCCACTGGTATGCATTTTATTATCTTTGTTTTGTAATAATGTCTGTAATCAGGCTAAAAAGTGCAAGGATTTTTCTATAAAATGTTATAATATTAGCATTAAAAATGAAGCCACGTTTAACTGCAAATTTTAAAAGGTAAATCACTTAAAAGCCCACTCTTCAAAGAACCATGAGCTTTAGTTTAGGGGATCTTGTCATTTCTAGGATCTTGCAATAATGTTAGAGTTGAGAACAAGCAAGATTTAAAAGCAGTGTGTAGTGACCAAACTAAAAGCCCCAATTTAGATACTTTTGTTGCTTAGCTTATAGCTGAATATATAGTAACATGAAGGCGTGAAATGTCGTAGCAAAAAGAAACACGTTTTGATTTTCTTAAGAATGTTTTTGTTTTAATTTTATAATTTTTGAGACGGATCACTTGCAATGACTACGATCAACAAGTTTAGTACCAAGCACCAATATCTTTGTCCGGATCATTAGTCAAAGTTGCCTGATTTCTGAAACATGAGACAAGACATGCATACCTCTTGATGAAATAATGCCATCGGAAGAGCTCGGAGTACAACTCACCATGTATGGTCAGGAGAGCAACTTCATGACGCATACTGGGCTGTGAAGCTCGAGATAATTTGCTTGAGTCCAGTCTACTCCTGCCAAGGAAATGGGCTCTCGTGCCTTGACAAGTCCACTTTGAGTAGCATAATCAAGAGCCAACTCGGCATCCACCTGTAAAATAATGAAAATAGCGGAAAAGAAAGAAAATCCTATACTTACCTGATCAACATACTGCGTAAGCTTTCGTGACAAAGTTACCTCGGTAACTTCTTTATCCGCGACTTTATGCAAAATCTCCCGGCTATCAGGTTCATATTTTTGCCTCTTCGCTTCCCGTTCATTTGCAATGCTTGCGAGAACCCCGTAAATTGCTCTTGAGACGTCAGGGATGTACCTACAAGTTTTCTTTCAATAGCCAAGCAGATTGAAACTTTATAATACCTGGAAAGGTTTTTCTTCCGTTCAAGTTTATCTCGAGCAGCTTTCTGACGGACGAGCTTTGCTTTCAACTGTATGCAGCACTGTTGTATAGCAGACTGAAACGAAGAGCCGAGTCAGAGCACAGCCGAACGTAGTAACAGATCAACCTTGACTCCGGATGCTATTTCAGTAATATCATCTCCAATGTACTCTTTACCAGTTCCTTTGAAAGGTATCTTTGTGCTAACAATGCTAACAAAAACTCCAACCTTGTCCTGTAGGTGGCTGATCTTGTATGCGCTCCAGCTGCAAAACAATGAACGGGATTATAAATCACGGAAAAGAAAAATGCTAACCTGATTCGTTTCGTTGCTGTTCTAGTAATTACATCGCCACCTTGTTCAAAGAGAAGAGGGATACGGTTTGCAAAGCGGAAAATATTCAAGCCCTGTTCATTTAGATACGTGAGGCCCAGACAAAGATTACCAGCGGACGTACTGGCTTTACGCTTTTCCCTCCTAAGCTCACTGCTGCCTCAACAATGAATGGATGTCCTTCAAAGACCTGAACACTGTCAAAGCCAAAGCTCATTTCGCTGTTCTAGTCAGGCAGGAAATCATCTTACTTCCCTTGGCAAGTGGCGACCATGTCTGGGTGCAGCTCTTTTGTAATTCCAAGGCGCAGGTTGTATTCTCCGGCGGGACTTAAGCACTAAACAGATGCACGGTTAGCTATATTAACATAGAAAAGTTGTACTCACATCACCGTCGGGATCGTCGAACTTAGCTTGTCTAAAGAGTTGATGTATACGAACGAGCTGCTGGTCGGTAAGATCTTTTACCAGCATTTTTGGTGTGAAATCAGGGCCCATTTCACCTGGAAAACCAGAGCTCAGGATCTGAAACAGTTGCATTAAGCTTACCGATGAGACGTTCCGCATAAGACTTGTTGATTGAAACAAAGTCCTGCTGCAAATACTGGATCAACGTTTGCTTCGACTTTTCGGCAATAAGTCGCTTGATCAAGAGTAAATCCACAGCAGATGGATGATACTTGGTCTCTGGAGGTGCAGGAGGCATAACATCGGTCCTCCTCACAAACTGTACGCTTACATTCTTTCTGAGTATCCACCGATCAGCAAGGCACTAGGACAACGAGAATACACATACTCTGGAGTCCCTGCTCTGTAGCGAAATAGGAACTGTGCATACGGTGTGATGACAGCCATTTGCCGCATGTAGCTTATAACTTTGGACTGCAAATGCACATCAGAAAAAAAAAAAAAAAGAAAAGAAACTCACCCGATAAGTCGTCCAATTCCCTTCAATGGTTACATGAATTTCGGCCCCGTGCCAGCCAGTAGTATTGGGCTTCTTTTCAAGTACATGAACATTAGGAATGTTCCTGCACAAAGGAAAGAAAACTCGTTAAACGTTCTTTAAACTCCAGCATCTTACTTGTGGATGTCAATGTCTAAACGACAAAAGGAAATGAATTTCTGCCCCTTCATAGCACTCGAAATCTCGATGGGCAGGCCAGTACTCATTTTCGACCATATCAGTGCCTGCATGAGACTTCTCGCTTACATCGTTTAACAAAAGATGTTGCGGATACCATTTTTGCTCCGAGTCCAAATTTGCCCCGAGTTTGTTTGAGCCCGTATTTTGTGCCAGATAGCACTGAGAAACCAGTAAAGAAACCATCAAAATGACTTCCAATATACAGAATAATACCTCGACCAAGCATGTTTGGTATATCATCGTGTGGCATTCCCTTGCCGTTGTCCTGAAAGCGAGTGGGTACTCCAATCATCGTGAGAATTCCAGAAAACGAAAAACCTCACCTTGCAAGAAACTTTGTAAAAAACTGTATCTCCACGGCCTTTCCCAGCCTTAGGAACAGTGACTTTTTTACCAGCTGCAATGGCCTTCGCTTGGCGTTCTTGCTCACGAGCTTCTTTAGCCAATCTTTTCTGAAAGTTTACAGGATGAAAGCGATTTTAAAATGACCTTCTTGGCAGAAATATACCTCGCGGGCTTTCTCGTTTTCGTAGTCATCATAAAGCTCCGCATCGACTCGCTCATGGTCGACCAGTCCAATCATAGCGTTAAACTTGGACTTGCTTATCTCTTCACTGGAAAATTTGAGACCAGAAGAGAGAAAATAAAGAGAAAGAAAAGGAAGAACTCACATTGTGACCTCGATCGTTGGAAGCTCCGCAATGGATTCGGCCGAATCTAGAGCATTCTCGACCAGTTCACGCACTGTCGTGTACAAGCTTTTCCCAGGCTGCAAAACTTCCCTGGATCAAAAAACAAAATAGAAATCAAAGCCTACATACATTATCAAAACCCGCGATGTTCTTGTTCTCGGAGAAAAATTCCGCTGGCGACTCTACAAAAACGGAGTCAAAATCCATCAGCATTCATAAGGATCTCACAGACTTTGCTTTAGAGCGGGATCCTGCGTCTTCGTCGCCTTAACCTTTTTAGAATCCATGGCGAGAACCGCTGCTAGGAATCGGCAAGGTGTTAATCAATAAAAACGTTGCGCATTTTCTTACCTCTTCTGGCGTCGTCGCGCCTTAAACCCTAGCCCATTGGGCGCCAAAGAAGAAGAGTAGACGGACGGCCTGGATGGAGAGACATCAACGGCCTAGATTCGTTCCACAAAACGGTCCAGAGCTCGATTCCTAAACAGGCTGCTCTCGAGAGTGCTTGGTCTCTGAAGGTTTTATAAGTATGCCTGGAGAGAGAGGTGGGACGCTACATATTAGGTAACGTTTGTTCGTCGCGCTCTCCCGGATGGAGGCGCGTGTTTGATTCCTGGTCTCGCGCGGTTGAGTAGGCGCTGCCAGTGGCATTTCTTCGGTGAAATTCAGGTGCGCCATCTCAGGAACCCTAGCTCGCGGAAGATCTGGCACCGCTAACCGGCATAATCCAGGTTTTTGTCGCAAGGTCTCAAGAGATTTTAGGGATCGGTGAAGAGCAGGAGTGGAATGCCGGGCTAGAATCTGGCGTTTTGATCTCTCGCTTCCCTATCGAAAATGCCCGAGGGCTCTGGATTCGTGACTGCTTTCCAGGCGTCGCCCTTTGCCGGGACGGAATCCGGGAGGCAGAGGTTTCATGTGGAGCTTACCTCGAATGTGGTGTCGTGGAAGAAGCTCCTCAAGAGTGCTCCACCCCCTCCTGCCGCTGAGGCTCCTCCCGGTGCTAATCCAGCATTGGAAGCTCGCTTGGCACCAGAGGTAAGCGAGATTTTTTTTCTTTCTTTCCCTTCCATAAAGAAGTTCTCTGCTCCTGTGATGATCAGACGGTGCTGCTATGCAAAGAGCCACGAGGAGGTCCAAATCGTTTTAGTAACGTCATTGAGAAGATAGAACGCCTTTATCAGGTTATAGATTCTTCTATCTGGTAGCTTGACTCTTAAAAGCTTGCTCTTGACAGGGACAAGGACAAGAAAGTGACGATGAAATTGTCGACAATCACCTTGACAACGTCCCGGATGATGATCAGTATAATACAGACGATTCATTCATAGATGACAAGGAGCTGGTACGACTACTTGCTGCTCGAAAGATTTCTATGTTCTTATCTCAACATGCAGGACGAGTACTTCTCTGTGGACTATGCTAAAACGAAGCACAGCGGGTTCTTTATCAACAAAGGGAAGCTAGAAAATATGTAAGACCTGAATTCGATTCATAGCGTTTTCGTTGAAGTTTTATCATCGTTATTTCAGAGAACCCAATCCGCCTTGTTTACCTGTTCCAAAGAAGAGGAAACGCAAGGAGGTGAAAACCAGTGGTTCTGAAATGCATGCTCAGGATTCTTCAAAGAAATCAAAAGCTGTTGGAAGGGTAGAGCAAGAAAGCGTAGACAGGCCTTCTTCGGATGGAATCGGGGAATGTCTAGTAAACAAGCAGTCGGAAACGCAGGTTCGACAGGCAGCTGGAAATGATGCTTTTTCCTTCGACTACAACAAGTTTTTCTCAAGGGACGGGAGTAGTTGCAGGGAAGCCAATTACATATCAAAAAATGTGTCGTTGAAAGGGTTGACGAAGAACAGCTCCCGCACCAAGGAAAGCGAGAGAAATGAGGTAGCTCTAAAGAAGAGCGCTGTTGGAAGTCCGAGCCGGCCAAAGTTTGTGAAGCCATATTCGGGTGCAGATGCCTGCAAAGTTTCTTCGTCAGCGGTAAGTCTGAAAGATCTAAATTGCTGTTCTAACTTTTGTTTAGCAGAATTCAACGTTAGGAAACTCGAGCGTTGATCCCCAAAAACGCTCGACAGCGAAAGTGTCACTTTTGGAAAGGGCCATTCAAGATCTAAAAGCTGGAGTTGCTCAGCGTAAGGAAGTTATATATTTTGTGATGATTTCTAACGTGGCTCTTTGTACTAGTGCGCCCGATTCCAGATGTTCTAGAGCCAAATGCGACCGGAAAAGTAAGGCGTTTGCCAAGGGAAATAAAGGCCAAAATAGCAAAAGTTGCTAGACTTGCGGTATGCAGTAAAGATATTTACGAACCGATTCTGAGTCGGTCGTGCTTTTGTAGGCGAGGCAAGGCAAAGTTCCTGACGAGCTTATCGATCGTTTGATGAGCATACTTGGTCATCTGATGCAGTTGAAGACACTTAAGGTACTTTTCTCCATCCTGTTGTTCACTAGAATGATGTTTTTCTTTACATCTGTAGAGAAATTTGAAGGAGATGGTCGAAATGGGCTTAGTCGCTAAGCACGAAAAGGAACATCGTTTGTCGCATATGAAGCGTGACTTGACAGAAATTGTTCGCTCAAGGGTACAATCGATACAGGCAAAGGTATAATAATGTTAAATGGGTTCATTAATTGTTGGAAAACTGTCAGGCTGAAGAAGGATTCTCCAACGACGTTCAAGGAGTTGGTGAAAAGAACTACAAATGGGACCAAGCTACAGAAGACCGGATCTGCGAACTCTATGATCAGTACCTTGAGGTTTACTTGCTATTGCAACGTTTGAAGGTGTTAAGTGTTATTCCTCTGCAGGGAACTGATGAAAATAGAGGTACTCAAAGTCGCAAGCTCTATATGGAGGTTTGTTGTGTCCAAATTTCTCCACCCTACTATATTCTTGAATTTTTTTTTTTTTAATTTTTTTCCAGCTGGCTGATCTATGGCCTGAGGGCTGGATGGACAAGGACGGGATCAAGAATGCTGTTTACAGAGCGAAAGAAAGGAGAAAAGCTTTGCAGAAACAAGTAAGCGTTTTCTACTATGTACTTTTGTGTTGATTTACAGCACCGTTTCGTGCAGAGTTTAAACGAATCGAGGAAGAAGTTTTCGGAGAGGATAGATTTAAATGAGAGACCAGAGGCGCCTTTGGCGTTGGCGCCAAACATTAACGGGACAATTTCCAACCGGGATTTACCTTCTAGTGCTGTTCAAGCTGGGAAGCCTGCTGTTATCCGGAAGCAAATGCAGCGTGGGTACCTGGACAAGCACGACGATTTCAAGGATAAGAAACGGGTGGAGGAGTCCATCGATACCGATCCGAGCACGTTGGCTTTTCTCAAGTTCAAGAAGCAGACCAAGCCTGTGGGAACTGGGGAGCTCGTGTTTGACGCCAGTTATCAGGGGCTTCGATCGGTGGAGTCGGTCTTTCTAGACAGACCGTCCTGATACGTCACTTACAGGTGTAAGATAAGCAGGATTTGGAAAGTTAGATAGCGAAGGACAGCTGGATTCTTCGGATTTTTTGTTCTCTTAAAGTTTGAAAGGGTGGAGAAGGGAAGCACGTAATTGCTATTAGATGGGCCAGAGCATTCGGACCGCACGAGCAACGACTCAGCTGGTCCAAAATTTGTCGTCTGGTAAGATATTCTTCTCTTTCATCTTTCGTATCCAGTAGATTACGGACTTTTCACTGTTCCTGTAACTGAGGAAACCGTGTTCTTTGCTCTTGTTCATGCAGCTGACTACCTGGAACGGGAAGTTGAGGCACAAATCGACAGCCCACCACGTCTCGTCCTGTACTGCCGTCTCGAGAAGGCCGTTCTCGACAACGATCTGCTCCCACACGTTTTTCTTATTCTTCAGAAGCTGTTCGAGACTGACCGGCTTTCCATCGTACGCCGGACACTCAAGCTTGAACTCCCGAGCCATGACAGCCCAGAGCCTCTCCCAGCTCGTGCAGTCTCCGTCGGCAATGTTAAACGCTTCATTCTTGGCACTTGGATTCGTCGCAGCCCACAGCTCCTGCTCCGCAACAAGGTCGGCATCCGAAACGTTCGTAAGCGTCTCCCACGACTGCCGGTTTCCTGGAAAATTAAAGCTGAGCTTCTGGTGTTTGCAAATAGCAGCATATATGGCCAAGCTGCCAAGAACGTTGGCGTGGTTCCGAGGAGCAAAGCCGAAGATTATGTTAGGCCGGTGGACGGACCACGTTATGCCCGACGACGGCGAGCATGCCTCGAACAAGATATCCTCCAGAGTGTAGTAGAAGTTTGGAAGGCCGGGGACTCGGGGCAGGTCCTCGTGGAATGGAGGCCGATAGTGCTTGATGGTGCCAAAGTGAAAATACGGTCCCAGGTAGTGCTTGACACCGGTTTGGAGGCAGACGTGCTTGAGTCTCTTGGCAACTGGTAGCAGCGCTTGGAGGACAGATCGCAGCATGAAACCATTGGCCTCGCAGTTCTCCTCCTCGGTGCTCTGCTTTTCCCAGGCAACCCAGAATACATGAGTCACTCCGCCGAGGCTGGAGAGCTTGGGTGTGACTTCGGACAGATTCAGCAGGTTACACTGGATATAGTCGACGTCCGGGTGCTCGAACCAGCGGGGCTTGGGCCTGCGAGCGATGCCGCGGATTCTCCAGGGGGCTCCGGGTGCGTCGGGACGCTGCAAAGCTTCGACCAGGCTATTGCCAACTATGCCGGTCACTCCAACAATGAGAGCTTCGTTGTGACCATCGTGTTCGCTGGCGGCCTCCGGGGACTCTGTTCTAGAGCAGCAGAGAGGAAGCAGTGAGCACATCTTTACCTTTGCGAGAGCTGGGCGCGGCCAAGTCTCAAACAGTAAACCTTTTAAATGACTCCCCCGGCCGGAGAGATTCCAATTTCCACGTTTCGACTGTTCAAATAGCTAGAACAGGATATAACAAACAATGCTTAAGCTTCGAGTGTAGCTTTGACAAGGCTCTTCTCCTCGAGCTCCTGGGTTCAAATCCTATGGGCGCCAAAGGAGAACATAATAATAGTATGGTTGAGCTTTGTTTGAAATGCACTCCAAAGTGATCTCAAACAAGCTGGCATCTTTTGTCGATGGTATTGGGATAGGAGGTGAGGCTTGGGGGCGTGGCTTGCCACAAACTGTATGGAAGAAAATGGAGCAACTAAACTAAATCCCCTTTTGAATCTGATGGGCCACCAGTGAGAAAATGGCTCAATATGTTATCTCAGACTCCATGGAAGTCACTTTTGATGTGCGGCCCAGACATGTATCTGAGTACATTGGCTCACGAGCATTAGTCGTTCATTCTTGAATCCTCCAAATAGTATATAAATAGATATTGCTTTTGACTGATATACAAATAAAAATGTTAATGTGCCACTTCAATTACATGGTAAGTGATTTATATAGAAAATATTAAATATAAGTACTCTAAAAAATAATGATCAAAAAAGTTAACTACTACCTCTCCATAGTCAACACAAATCTGACAATTGTGGTGGGAAACTACTACCTCTCCATGGTCAACATGGATGGTGGGAATCTATCAGCTCATGGGACTGACACATTGGCAATACAAAACAGGCCAGCACCATCCTCTTTTCAACATGGATCAGACAATTCGGGTGGGAATCTTTCAGCTCATGGGCTGGTTGGTGTTCTATTAGGCTAGGTTGAAACTACATGGATCTTCAGCACCCGTTTACACTGTTTTGTATGTGGTCTATGCTCCTTTATAACACACATGAATTAGGAGCATAAATTTGGCTTATAAGCCTCCTGTCTTGTACACTTTTCACTTAAGACATTGTTTGCGTTATTATGTCACTCCTAGGTAGTGGCTGCAAGGCAATCAATCAATCTAGAAAATGTCTCACTATGATTAAACTCTCACAACCTGACCAGAGTGACTTTGTGAGTATGGCCCGACATCAATGTGATTGATTGGAGGTTCGCTTTGAGGCAAGTATCATGTGTGTCAGGCCATAGCGGGTGGCTCAAAGTCTCATAAGGTCACTTAAGAAGTTGACCAAAGGAATATCAGGAGGAAGCATTAGTGGATTTGTATGTAGTGCAATTTGATCTTTTTATATGAAATGCTTTAGCTTTTGTATATGTAGAATTTTTGGAGAATTGGCCTATTGAATGTCATGCCAAACCTTATAAATTTATGATTTAATTTGTTATAATACTTAATATAGTCCCTTCCACTAAGCAAAGAGCCCTTTAGACAAACTATATACCATAAGATTAGAAAAATGAATTATATCCACTTTGTATTCTATAAGTAGATGATAATGGGAATTGTAGTGTTATTATTGTCCCACTTGCATGCGGCTCAAATGTTCACTTGAACTAGTGAAAGAATGCTTGTTAAATACTAATCCCAAAACTTAGCATTAGTAACCCGTGCCAATTATGAAGGTAAAATATACTCTATTTGTAGTATCACTATATAAGAGTTTATATGGCGAAGCATCAATGGAACTCTATACCCTTGTGACATATGCATACCAAAGATATGGCAAATAACTATCTTAATTTAAATACTAAAAGTTTATGTACTTTACAATCATCTATTTGAAAGTTAAAACAAGTCATTCCACCAAATCATTGATAACCACTTATAAAAGAAACTTTAAACTTTAATTTCTTGATAAATTTATAATATCAAATTGAATTTGTTACTAGTTTAATAAAAAAAAGTATTTTTATATCATTCATAAAAAAGATCTTAGTTTCTATTATTTAAAATTTTTTATTAGAACATACACAGTTGGTCTTAAATTCATAATTGTTCTAGGTATGTAGAAGTATACCACAAATTATATTAAATTTCTCTCTAATCAATGAAACAAATCCTAAATATTAATAGGGCAAGTGGAAATATTTTTCTGTATATTTCAGGGCAATAAAGATTTACACTTCAGGTCCAAATTGTTATAAATATCATTTATTTAAAATATATATCTAGACTTTGAGGAGATGAGAAGCATAAAAGACAAAAATATGTGCATAATAATTAGCATATGAGATTGTGGACTACATGATTTCACTACAACAATCTCTATATTACACTTTTATTACCATTATCACCATTAATAGAAATGCTCCTATTAATTCCTTAAGGTGTCGATCCTGTTTTGTCCATATAGCTTGAGATTAGCATTATTGTGTTATTAGTTAGACAATTGAAATGTTGAAACTATATTCCATTTAACACTATTTTGAGTAACTGGTAAACCTATCATCCCTAGAAACTAAACAAATGTAAAACAAATGTAAACCTATCATCCCTAATTGCTTTCCATCCTTCTGAGATGAAAGGATGATATATGGTCCAAATGTACAGCTTGATGTCGTGTACTAATCTATAATAATAAGAACGAAAGGCCCAAACCCTTGCAGCCGTTTGATCCCAAGCCCGGGGCAGGCATGGAAGCCATGGTTCTCAGAAAGGGGAGGCCACCCCAGGGGCCAGGGTCGGTGGCCATGGTTAGCCAAAATATTGGCTCAATGTTGTGGCAGGTAATGGGCAGGATGCATGTGTGGCCGGGAAGAGAAGAGGGTGTGGTGACAAGTGTTACACCATGCACTCTTAGGGCTCTATGGCTGCTCTGCTTGCTCGTGGTGCGTGAGTAGCACCACAACATTTGCTGTGCAAGTACTCATATTAACATAATGGGATTTTAAAAGCCATCAGATTAGTTTCAATCTGGCCCACTTGCTAGAGTTTTTGGATTAATTGAATATGCATATTTTAGTATTCCATTTCCATATTTCATGTACTCACACAATGAGTTTTATTTTGAAAATAATATAATCATATAAAATATTTCAAAAAGTTTTAAACTAGTTTTATATAAAATATTATGAGATTGTTTAAGTGTTATTTCCGCTACTTTTTCTATTAAAAAAATAAAAATAAAAAAAATATTCTTACAACCATAAACTTAATTATGACACTATTAACTTTTATACTTTACAATAACATAATTTATTTATATTTATATATTTATTTATTAGTATTGCTAACTATCTCTAATACTAAAAGTTATAGTTTATATTTCTTCCATATGTAAAGCAAAAATATGGATATATTTGTGTCATTCTTATAAAGCTAGCTGAGAATAAATGGATTTTTGATATTTTGCATTTAGTGCCATCTATTAATAAATTTATTTATTTAATAATTATTCAAGTATAATCTCAAAATATCATTCATCACTATGCAAAATTATTAATCCCACTTTTAGACTTTAAATGTAGAATTTTATTGTGAAATGAATCATAATTTTTTTAAAAATTTCATACATAATTAAAATGATATTTTAGTTCAACCCAATGATCTTGAATGTCCTTCCACCACACTAGACCCTCATGAGTGAGGCACTTATGATTATACCCCATGATGCACTTAAAAGCTAGGGAAACAAGGGTATAACATGTTATGTGGATTTATAGCTAACTTTTTATGTGTTAAATATGAAAATTATTCATTTGCTAGCTCAAAGTTTTGATAGGATTAATATTGAATCATAATATAACAGTTAGTATATGAATATAATTTACTTACATAAATACAACAATTAAGTCATACTTCTCATCACTTAAAATAGGTGTTGTATGCTGTAGCATTAATATAAATGGAGTTGACTCTATACTATAGCTATAAATTATCAAGATGAGGTATTGGATTATATCTATCTTACAAATCTAAAAATGTTTAAAGAGTAAATTATTGTTATCCTCTATTTAAAATAACTAGAATTATACATTGTATTTATTAGAGAATTAATAATTTCTTATTTTGAGGTTCAAATGTACAGCTATAATGCTGTATACTAATATTAGCATAGTGGGATTTTAATAGCTATCAAATTAATTTCAATCTGGACCACTTGTTGTTATATATAAGTTAAGGTTTTTGAGGTAATTGATATGCACATTTTTGTATTCCATTTTTATATTTCATACAGTCACATTGGTGGAGATGAAGGGTAATTTTAACTGTTCCTAAGGAGTGTTTCAGTTTAGGATTTTTCTTTAGATTTAGCTTTTAGATTGTCTAGATCCCCTTTTCTTTATAAATTTTTCAATTTCTTTTCTTTTATATTTTTCC